CAAAACAATTGCTCGCATGACTGCTGGGGATATTAATTAAAGACTTCGTCCAACAAAACAGTGACTCCTTAGGCCAAAATATTTGCTGGGACTTAGCTACCACAAGTTCGTTATTAATGACTTATTATTATGTAAATTTCCTTCTCAAGGAAACTATTTGAAATAATCTTTTAATGGTAATTAAGCAAATGCACTAAAAGGAAAGTGAACAAATATTAGTTAAAAAATGCATAAGAATTAAAGAAATCACTACATTTTATATAAGCTAATACTATATGTTTAACAAGTTTGTGATAAAAGGACTAACACTTCCCTGAAAGAAACTACCTTGTTGAACCGTGCAGCTATTAAAATGACTGAATAAGTAAAATTAATTACTAGCTAGTGGTTGTCACTGGAGATCGCACAAGTAAAGCTTAAAAACAGAACAATAACAACATACCCAGTGAAGTGTCAGAAGTGGAATCTGGGTAGGGTAGTGTGTACGCAGACATTACCACTACCTCGTGGAGGTAGAGAAAACTTAAAATAGACTGCGCTATTTAACGACTAGGACTCATGTAGGAGGAGCTTTGAAGCATAATGGAACATGATTAATAAGGAATGTTACAACATTTAGTATGGCGATCATAATTCAAAGAGCAATCATAGAAAGAGCACGCAAGCTTTCGTTGTCTGTTTCCCAGAAGTGTGAATGTCTTGAACGTGTAAATCTCTCATAAACAAGCCGAACACCTCTTTCCCATCGACGAGCAGGTTGAGAATTCGAGGTGATTTGGAAGAAAAAAAGCCTAAAAGAATGGACCAAATCGGAGTAAATTTGGTGAGGAGGTTTGAAACTACAAGTTGATAGTCTTATCAGAAATGGGAATAACAAGCTTACTATTAAAGGAGTATTTATAAAACTCCCAGAAGATACCATCAGCTTCAGCTTTACAACAATCAATAAATGCAAACCCATGAATTGTTTTTTTTTGTTCTGATGGTTTGGTTGGTGTCTTTATTCTTGTGCAGCGAATGGATGGATATTATATAAGTGAGAAGAAAGATTTTGAAGTGGCTTTGGAGATAATAATAATAATAATAAATAGAATAGTAACAATTATAGTAACTCTAATGGTAAGTAGAAACAAAGTATCTGCAAGTCAACATTGCATGGTCTGTATTTTAGTGGATGAGAAGTCAACATCATGACAACTTCTTCGTCTTCTTCCTAGAATTTGGTCCTCCAAAATTAAACACAAAGGGATCGTTTGGTTCGGAGACAATACTTAAACAGTGGTGGTATGCACCAAAATGTTAAAGCTTTGAAGTGGTAAGTCACAATCTAGCTAAACTTTTATTGTCCCAGTAACACTAGAAGAATAAATGGTGATTGGAGACCACAAATATCTCATCCATTTAAATGCTTTGACTGGTGAAAATACAGTATATTTGTTTAGTAATTAAAATTCCACATCATGTGAGAACTTTATATTACGACAAATGTTGGGGCCTAGGTTTAGTCCGGGAAAATATCCTAGAGATTTTAAAAAAATAAGATTAAGTGATCAAAAATCTTACTACCTATTACGTCGGCACGATAAAGTAAAATGATGGGGACATGAAGGTGTTTTTTATGATGTAAATGGAATTTCGTGAATTCTACTAGCATCCAATAGTTAACAACAATTTCCTTTCAAGAGACTCAATTGACAAAGGGTCTAAGCAATCTCGAAAAATATTAGTAATAATTTGGTAATGATGAAAGAGAGAAAAAAGACTGAAACTTGCAAGCCTAACTAAGACAAATAGTTGAGCATAAAAGGGATAGAAGGTTGCTTAATGGAAACTCTCACTTATATATAGCTAGCTCCAAGCAACTAATTATATTTTCATTTTTTTTTAAATGTTAGAGAAAGAGGGTGGACATTAAATTGTCAATCAATCAATCTTCATTTTAGAATGTTATATCAATCTTTTAGAATGTTCGATCAATCCAATCAAAATTACATAACCGAGATGCAAAACTTCTTCGCGCATGGCCACATTTGGCTAGTACTTTTTTTATTTTGGCGGAAAAAAAAGGATGAAATCACAAAGTAACTCACAATCACGGAGTTGCAAACTCGGCAGCATTACAGAGCAAGTACTGCTGACAGTGAGAATCACTAGAACTGTAACGTCCTCGAAGCTGTGGCCTCAGAATTTGGGCTAGATCTTCATCGCCAATGTATTTATGCCAGTTACAATGAGAAAATTAGGATGACTTACAGCTCTGGACTTGGATGGCATTGAGAAGATATACACTCACATCAGGTCAAATTGGCCAAGGACAATTGAGGCAGTCTTGGTTATAAGAAAGCATAATCTACAATGAGGTCACCAGTTGATGGATCAAAAGATGTTTTAATTTCTGCTGAGTGACAATCACTGGTTGTAGGGGTAGATCTATGGCTCCCCACGGCCACGGGTTCCTTCAGAAGTTTTACCCCTTGCTTCCAGTATCTTTGTTCTGAATCAGACAGAAGTTCATTAAGCTTGCAACTTCACGTCAAGGATAAAGGGGTAGGTGTAATATTTTGTGAAAAGAAACAGGAAGCAAGTATTTGGCACTCCAAGCAAAATCCGACATGTCAAGCAATTTTCGTCAAGACTGAGACTTCTTAAAGACATACCTGGTCCTGTAGACGAGACAATGGACTCTTCTGTATCCATCACCCAGTCAATCCAAAGAACAAACCCGTGACATTTTCCACGCGCAATAAATTCTACCTGCAATACCTTGGTTTCATGAGCTAATATCGCAAACTGCCTTCATTGTGAAGAAAAACTAGATTCTGCAGAATCTTGCTAGTAGTCATGTAAGAGACCTCATACCTGAGCTTTTCCAGAACATGGGCTCATCGGTTTCAAGAAATTGAATTCCATGATAGTAACTACGTCACTCAATTTCTGCAATTTTCAATCTCAATTGTATTAACAAACAGATTTAGACTGTGTTATAGATAGTCTCATTTGTAGCATTCTTCTTCATCAGAAATGATGTAAAATACCTTGCTCTCACCACATTGCCAGGTTGAAAAGGGCAGAGTAGGATTCTCTTGTCCAGGAGGTAAACCTCCACATGCCCCTAATGTGGAATTGACAACTGAATGATCAAAACCTTCAACATCTTGCAGGCACCGATGGCTTCTCCAAAGGTCCTGCAAGAACAATTTAACATGTCCATCACATGATATTAAGTCTTCACATGGTTAAGGCATTGAACAGCATGCATCTATGAGCTTACAGGAAGAGACATCGCACAAGCCTTTAACAACCCTTTGCAAGGAGTAATTACCGCACCTTCTGATAGGAATGAATCCAATAAACTTCTTTGCTTCCTACAAACAACATCAGGATCAGCATAGATACCTATAAGTAAATCCCGTGAAAAATAATTCCACACTTAGAGGTATTCTAAAACACCCACCTCTACCAAAAAAAGGGAAAAGAAAGAGCCAGTATAGCAGCAAATCATAACTGAAGAAATGGAAAGAAATTACAAAATTAAAAACAAAAGTAGCAATACCATTGAGTGGTAAGGATAACAGGTCACACCTGCATTCCTGTCTTGGTCGTTTCTAATTTTCAGTATCTCCAAATCTGGAGATTTTTTTTTCAAATGGTAACCGCTCCATAAATGTAGATCAGTATGACTTGAAATATTTTATTCCTTGATACAGTAAACCCCACACCCTACCTAGACGCAGCTAAAGCATACTTCCCTTAATCTATTGTCTGGTGTAACCTAAAAGTTGTAATGGATACAGGTAGCATGGTTGATTTTATAAGCTCCCTCCATAGTAGCTCAGTGAGACGCAAGGTTTTCTTTTTCATTACATATTACAAATCATAAATGTCATCAATTCTACAGTGCTAATGATATCCATCCTCTTTTGCTTTGTTCAAACGACATAACTGCTGATCAGCAATGTAAGAGATTATCAAAACAGAAGAGCCGGGCAAAATCACTAATAAAAGCAAATGCAAGAAAGACGTAACAAGTATTAGTCTAAAGAAATAAAACTCCAAGATTGTTGTCAAAAAGATATTTAAATTATTCAGAATTTTCATGGAATCATTTCAGTCATAACGTCAACTCAGTAAACTAAAATCAAAAGAACGAGTTACATCATTTACCAAAACCGCAGATTTTGCCATGGGAGCACACTGTTGTTTCCATAATAGAAAGGTTCTCCAACTATCAAGTCAACCTACAAAGAAACAACCAATCATCAGCATTTGAAAGAAGATAGTATGGTGTTAGGCAGGGGAAGTAATATATTTGAGATATCATGCAAAATATGGTTGAAGAGACAACAAGAAGCAATCTTGGTCGAGGTTCAAGAGATAAAAATGTTAAATTTGGATCTTCTACCTTTCTCCGACTACTTTGAGAGGTCAACAATTCACTCATCTTCTGGACTTCTACGTGATCCTTCGAATAACCATTTGAAGCCGCAACAGCTTGCAAATATTCCGCACCTTTCTCTTGAAATCCTGGAAACAGTGATAGCACATGAGACCCTTTTGCAAGATGGGTGAGAGCAACAGCCAAAAATAGGCTATCATCCACAACAACGCACAGGGAGGGCATTTTCTGCTTCACCTGTAAGGAACAAAGAAGCAAGATTAACTCTAACTGACAATTTGAAGTAAATAAAATTAGTAAGGAACAAGCAGTTATTTCCATGTAAAAGACAGTAACATGCATGATCTTCCAAAATAAGCACATATGCTCTAGCTGACTTTGTTCTTCAGTATAATAGTTAATGCAGGAAGCAAAATAAAAAATGAAAGGATCAAAAATAACAAGAAAAAGATTAACAATAAACTTTTTTCATCAGATATTTAGAACAATAAACTTGAGGAGCTATGCTTAAGAGAGCTTTTGGTGAAAATAACTTCCTTTTTGGCCCAACACTTATGGAGTTAAACTCATCAGTGTCATTAAAAGCAATCATTAAGAAGAGAGGGGTTATTGCTTCTCTCTGGGTAAAAATTAGAAATCATTCTGAATCTACAAACTCTAGAACCTGGATTCGCCTCTGTGTATTAGATGTCAGTGTCCTTGTGGAGCGGTATATGCAGCATAAGGAGGGGGAACAATTTTATACTCATGAAGTAAAGAATCACCACATCAGCAACTAGGCATTCACAGCTGAAAGAGAGTGAGCGAGAAGGGAACTGGGAAACTGAGAAACTAGCAGTAAGCAGGCAACATCTGAAAAGTATATTGGCTTTGGTTCTTCAAAAGCAAACAAGGGTACGATCAACCAGCATGGATTGCAAACGTCCGAACACGTTTCCATTTTCAGTGTCCAGGTTAAGGTCCACAGTGTCCAATTATAAGGAACTATACTTAATGAATGTACATGTACAAATATTCTTTTGGTAGGTGGTCCCAAGGGATAGATGTGATAACTTACTGCATTTTTAATAGCATTTAGCATTGAGCATCTCCAACTGACGTCACTGTATAATGCAATTTTTTCTGGTGGCAAAGTGATTTGGTACTTCTGAGTACTGAGCTCACTTTGTCCAAGTTTCAGGTTCTGGGACAAAGCCTTCATTTCATATGAGATGCTAGTATCAGTGTGAACAGCCAGCAAATTAACTTCTTCATCCTTCAATAAAGACAAACCTTTCTTTGGGATGAACCAAACACACTGTTTCCAATGGTCACACCAGTTCTGACAACCTATAGTGCATGCAGATAAAAGCACAAATAAGGAGTTATTTTTGACTGATTTTTTTTAGATGGTAGACTGTGATATTAGAGAGCTTGTTACTCAACTTTCCATTTATAGGCATGTAAAAGATACCAACAGCAAATATAATGTGAAAGAATACTCCTTGGTTATATAAACAGCTTTCTAAAGTAAAACATTAACCAGGAAATGGAGTAGGGAACTCTTATACAACAATGTTGAAAGAACATCTCCACCCGACTTTTTCTTTTGAGGTTAGGCAACAGGAGATATTTTAAAGAACCATTATAAAGTTTCATAATGCCCTTCTCCAACTGTCTGTCACCCCAGGCAGCACACTTAACATGAATGTTGTTGAAATCCATAAGTGAAAAAGAATCCAGTTATATCCAAGTTGCCTCTGGAAACTACAAATTTTTTGCCCTTGTGGTAAAAAGAAGGAAAAACACAGAGATACTCTACTCACGGCTGATGGACGAATTTAGTCCTTCCACACTAGATGGGCAACTTATCCATTTTGGTGCAGTGGAGTAGAAGACAGTGCCTGTTTCATCAAGCTGGAGCAACCACCTAAAAAAAACCAAGTCATTGTAATGTTTTCCACATAAAAATGTCAGAGCACACAATAACTTCAGCACCAAAATAATTACCATGATATTATAGCATGAATAGTGCCAGTATCAGTAGCTTTTACACTCAGTTCTCTTTCGCGATGACTCTCTGGCCTTCTCCAAAAGTCAAAATCAAATACTTTGAAGGGTTCTGATAGCTGTAGAAATTGAAGTGAGTGATATTTCAGAAGTTGTCAGTATAGAAACATCTTTTACTCTGAAGTACATTACCAGTTTGATGTCTTTTAATGCATCACAATGCATGGAAAATTGTTGGCGTTTGACACATAAAGCTGTATCCATTTCGTCCGGAACAAGACGAATTTCATCTAGTACTCCTTTTTCATTGTTAAACAAATCGTGCAGCTTCCACAAATCTGTGCTTTCTACCATCTGAAAGGCAAATTGGGGAAAAAATAACTGATTTACAACCACAAGAACCCAGGGGTGGGAACATACCCTATTAATTTTAGTCCATCACAACCAAGAAATATTTGATTTTTGATAAGTCCATCACAACCAAGTAGTATGATGGCACACAAGCTATTACTCACTAGCTAAGTTTAATAAATATAAAGGGAATATCCAATTTATAGATCTGAAATGAGCTTTAGAACTATATCCATGATGGTTTTATCCAAATTTTACTAAGAACTAAGAAGCACTTGCAACTGCATCCGTATTTAAGTTGATGCAAAAATAGTAAACCCAGCCTAACAATCAGAACATACAAGTATAAGAAGCAAGCTAAACTTATAACCTGACAATAGTAACACCATGTGATGCAGAGCTAGACCTAAAAATGAGTAAATCAAAGCAAACTATAAGAAGTAAACTAAACTTACAATCTGCAAAAGAATACTTAAACATAATAGCCTTGGTCAAACACCTGACCATATATCGTTGCTCGGTAAGGCACTGTTTTTGGATTGTCTGACAGTAGGTTGTCATGAGCATGCTGCAGAGTTGGAATTAACCCTTCTCCCAAAAGCTCAGAGTCGAGTATTTCACTAACCTGAATCAAAGGGTAAACAAAGCACTCATGCAACGATGGCATACATTTGGTTAACAATCAACCATTCAACCTATTTAAAACAAAAAGAGCAATAAGCACTGGTCCAAAAAATTTAAAGCAGGCATCATTTTAAATAATGTTACATCAACAAGATCAAAAAAGGATTGAAAATTGTTGAAATATTTAAACAGTAGATTATACGTGAAATTCTGCAAGTAAAATTGCACTGATTACATAATACACTTTCTGATACCCAATTAGATGCCCTCGCAATGTATCCTGATTAGTTCATCAATCATAAGCACATGTTCAGCATAAGTATGCCAATACTCTGAATCCTGTATATTATAAAATTAAAAAAGGCTAGTGTACTCACAAGCACATCTGCCCGTGAAGGCATGTCCACACCAACTTCTAATTCATCTGACCTCTTGTTAATGATGCGGATTTTTCTCTGCATACCATTGGCATGCAAAACCTTCCGCATCAATTTTACCATTGGAAGATATGACTCACACGCGGTAACTATCCCCTTAGAACCCGAGCTCTCCACTGAATCTCCATGACCCATTGCTCGGGCTGCCATCATAGATAGTAGACCAGTTCCGGCTCTGCAATTCGCATTATGAAGCAGAATCTAAGAAATAAATATGTTAACTCTCGAGTAACCACACATCCACCCATGACAATTCTTAAGACCTCCCCAATTGTGGCAAAATTTTGTCAACAGTAAGTCATAATCTATATAGACCAAGCTTTTCTCACCTTTTTTTCCTTCTTTTCTTGGTGGCTTTTACTTTATATATTTATATATATATTGGTAAGAGGAGAAACCCGCAGCCGCTACAACCTCTGCCCTTCGGGTGAGCACATTTTTCGCACCGGGTAAACCTCCCTGTGTAATAGCCTGTAGACCACATAGGGATGTAAACCGCACTAGGCAAGCCCTGTACGACAGGTTCAACCTAGAAGGCATTGAGGGGGGATTCGATCCCAGGTCATCCACCCTCCAAACCAAATGGGCAACCCCGAAGGGTACTTTCTATATTACTAAGGCATATATAACTTTTCATCTATTATCATCACAAACCAATCTTTTTAGCGTTACGCTTTCAATTGTTCTTATTTCCGAAGAAGCTGAAATGGCAAAGAGCTTAAAAGAAACCCTCAGTTTAGGTCTTGGATTTCTGCTGATCCCGTTCTTATAAATTAAAGGTGTTGGCTTTTTAGTAAAAGCTCAATTATTAGCAAAGACATTTCCCAAAACCATTTTTGGCCCAAGCCAACATGCCTTTAAATAAACACATTATCAGGAAAATGTAGTGAATACCCAATATCAAGAACATGGCACGGCATGGTTATGGTCTTGTCAATGGCTTCCCTGTAAGCTTTATTTCTTCGAGTATCATTCAGCATGTCAAGGTACGAAGTATTTGCAAGAAGCTGTTTTGTATTACCATCTCCTGAAGCCTCGTCTTCTTCAATGACGACCCATTCGGAGTTTCCTGTAAGCGGGTCGACTTTGAGCTGGAACATTCGTGACCCGGAACTCATGCTTCGGACTGTGAACGCCTTTGAGCGAGATTTTGGAATGTTGTTAAAGGAACGGGAAAAGAATTTGGGGTTTAGGGTTTTAGGAAATAGGCACTGCATAGGTGTATGGACTATGGAGTATGAGGAAAAAAAATTTTTTTTTTTTGGGTGCGCAAAAGAGCTTTATATTAATTTAAGTAGGAACATTACAAGGAGCTAATAGCACATTAGTACAAAAAGAGTGATCCAACGATTGGCCCTGTAAAGGGTCATTTCCTAAGTTTGCTGGATTATAGATTATGTCAGAATCATTGCAAGGTTTTACAAAACGCTTATAGATAGTTCCTTGCTGATCAGCTAGTAGTTATTGTAGCAAAAAGTCGGACGGATAAGTGAAAATAGTGGTGGTATCCCGAGCTTGGATAGCAGAGCTTGAAGAAATATTTGGTATGTTTGTGTATATTCATTCTCCGGAAATTTTATTTACATGGCCAGTTTATATTCCTTATTTTTTCGAATTAGATAAAAAAAAAAGCCCCAAAATAATCCCTAAGTTTCCTAATTAATTTAAAATCATTCCTTAAATATAAGTAGAGTACTAATAGTCTTATTATTTAATCAAGAGGCAAACTTCTTATATTTTCATTCCTATCTAATGATCTATCTATCTATATATTATTAAAAGGAGAGGACAAAGCCCTTTTCTTAAGCCAAATGGCAGCCTAAAAGTCACATGACATAATTAGTTACTAATTAGTTATTTAGTTACTAATTAGTTATTTATTATTATTTTTGAATTTAAATATCTATAAAAAATGAAAAAATAAAAAATAAAAAACTACCATATATATATATTAATTGGTTACTTTATTTGAATTAATAAATATAGATATCTTATAATTAGCTATAATTAAAAAACGAAAATAAAGAAATAAAAAAAACTTTTGATTCAAATTGTGGAGTAGTTTCTTTCTAATATTATAGTTAGTGTGTGTGTGTGTGTGCGTGTGTGTGTGTATATATATATATATATATGTGTGTGTGTATATGTATATAAAGAAAAGTAAATAATTATATGATGCCAAATGGTATAACCATAAGACAACAATGTAGATTTTTAGGACAAAGTTCCAACAAAGTTGAAAGTTCAAAATTATTTCATAATAAAAATTGAAATGAAAAAAAATAAAAAATTGCTAATTCAAATCTATATCTATATCTATATATTATTAAAAGCCAAAGAAAAAAGCAAGAAAAAAGCCACATGGCATAATTAGTTAATAACAAAGAAATTATCTATTAAAAATTAACAAAGGAATTAACTACCCAAACATGAGTGAGGGTTAGTTTAGGTTAGTTAATTTCTTTATTTCATTATTTAAAATCATTTTCGTTTTTCTTTTTTTAAAATAAAAAGTATATTAGTGTAGTTTTAGGACAAAGTTCCAACAAAGTTGGAAGTTTAAAATTATTTCATAATAAAAATTGAAATGAAAAAATAAAAAATTGCTAATTTAATTCTATATCTATATCTATATATTATTAAAAGCCAAAGAAAAAGGCACAACATTAATTCAAGTGATAACCTAGAAAAAAGCCACATGGCATAATTAGTTAATAACAAAGAAATTATCTATTAAAAATTAACAAAGGAATTAACTACCTAAATTAATTACTCAAACATGGGTGAGGGTTGGTTTAGGTTAGTTAATTTCTTTATTTCAAATTTTTAAAATCATTTTCGTTTTTCTTTGTTTGAAATAAAAAGTATATTTACTCATTAAAATTCAAACAGTATTATTGAGAAAAATATAATAAAATTTAAAATAAAAAAGATTCAAGAGTAATAAAATATATATCTTCTATTATATTATAAAAAAATTAGCAGACAAAGTATTAACAAGTAATATGCGAATAATCTATCTATTCTATATATTATTAGAAGCCAATTGTAGCCTGCTGAGTTTGTAACATTTCAAATATCGTTCGAAGGCTAATCCCGCCTTCTTCACCGCTCTATGCATTCTGATCGGCTGCCCGGACGTCTCTGCGGACGCTATTTTCAGGGTTGGTGCCTAAATTTCCCTGAATCGCAATATGAGAATTGACATCGATTGGATTTATGGCCTGTGGTCCATTTACGGCCTGTGGTCCATCGGGATTGATTGGAGGTACGCCATTTCCCGGGGGCGACTATGTGCTCGTTCTCGCCATGAAGACCAAGGCCGATATCTGTGTGAGTGGGCACTGCTTGAAGTTTGGCATGTTGATTGCTGAAATCAAAGACACTTACAAGAACAAGTGTAAAAGCAGTGTGTGTTATGAGGATTAGGCAATCACTATTATCTTTAGCCCCACGGTGGGTGCCAAACTGTTTACCCTAAAAACTGAATAACAATTAAACTTGCAATGTGATTTTAAGGATACCTAATACCAATTGATTAACTTAAATATAAGTGATGGGAATTGACAAGAATGTAAAACAAACCAATGCCTGGACAGTGCCCTCGAGCTGATGAACCCTCGAGCTTAGTAAAGTAAGAACAATTAAAGAACAACAAGTTGATAAACCAGAGAAAAAGAGAAATATTATATTGCTTTGATCTGTATGAATGTAAGGTGTTTACTAATGATGGGGACTCCCCTTTTTATACTAGAGGAATCCTAATTATGGTATAATTCTATTATGGAAGTAAATCCCATGATTGGTACAAATAACCGCCCTTGATTTGATCTGTTCCGGGATTTTCGCCGTGATCTCCGACCGGTTACGGATATCTCGCTTTTCCGTTATTGCACTTCACTCGAAGTCGGTCATACTTAGTCTTGATTGTTGCTGGCCTCGGTCTCGACGGATATCTCAATTCTTGAATTCGACACCTGTCTCCGTGTTATAGCCCGATCCATTGTGAGGCTGACCTTTGATGTGGTCTCCTGATCTCGATTAAATAGGTATACAGACATATATTTATATTAAAAAGATTTGGAGAAAAGTACATCCTAACACAATACATTGCACCTAATTAGTTACTAATTAGTTATTTAGTTAATAATTAGTTATTGGTTATCATTTTTAAATTTAAATATCTATAAAAAAATGAAAAAAAAATAAAAAATAAAAAACTACCATATATATATATATATATATATCCGACCGGTCATTTTGAGCTCTAGCGCGTTGTTCGGTGGTTTGAGGCCATGAGCAGCTTCACCTTAGATATTATGACTTGTACGCGTTGTCGGAATTGAAACTCGGGGAGTTCGGAGTTGATTTGGAAAGAGAATTCTCATTTCCGAAGCTTAAAGTTGGAAGAATCTGACTAAGGGTTGATTTTTGAGTAAACGACCTCGAAATCGGGATTTGAAGGTTCCAACAAAGTTTGTATGATGATTTCGGACTTGGGTGTATGTCGGGATTGGGTTTTGGATGACCCGAGAGCATTTCGGCGCCTATTGTGGAAGATAGCATTTTGGGAAGAATTTCATAAATTTGGGTTGCAGTGCATGCAGTATTATCGATGTTCGCTTGGGATTCCGAGTCTGGGAATAGATCTGTATGGTGATTCTTGTATTGGGAGCGCGTTCGGAAGTGAATTGGGAGGTCCATAGGTTATTTTGGAGTCATTTCGCTAAAGTAGAAATTTGAAGGATTTGAGAAGTTTGACCGGAAGTGGACTTTTTGATATCGGGATCGGATTCCGATTCTGATTCCGGAAGTTGGAGTAGGTCTGTAATGTCGAATATGACTTGTGTGCAAAATTTGAGGTCGATTGGATGAGATTTGATGGGTTTCGGCATCGAATGTTGAAGTTTGAAGTTCTAAAGTTCGTTAAGCTTGAATTGGGTTATAATTCATGGTTTAGCGTTGTTTGATGTGATTTGAGGCCTCGAGCAGGTCCGTATTATGTTATGGGACTGGTTGGTGTGATTGGACGGGGTCCCGGGGGCCTTGGACGGATTCCGGGTGGTTAACGAATCAAATTTGAAATTTGAAGAAGAAATGAAGCAGCTGCCTTCTAGTGTAACCGCACCTGCGAGGCTTGGGCTGCAGGTGCAGAGCCGCAGAAGCGGCCATGAAGGTCACAGATGCAATTTGAGCTGGAAGTGCAGAGACCGCAGATGTGGTCATCTCGCGCAGAAGCGGGACCGCACCTGCGGAAGGGAAAGCGCAGAAGCAGAAGGGGGCAGCTTGTGGAAGACCGCACAAGCGGTAGTTGGGGCCGCACCTGCGGAACCGCAGAAGCGGTCAAGTGACCGCAGGTGCGAAAGTCGGGGCTGGCAGTGTGTCTCTTTAAAACGAGGGGTTTGGCTCATTTCAACCCCATTTCCTCCATGGGAGCTTGTTACGGAGCAACTTGGGTGTGCCATTTTCACCACCAAGCATGAGGTAAGTGGTTTATACTAGTTTGAGTTACATACGTCGATTATGTATATGTTTTAACATGAAAATTAGTAGAAATTTTGGATTTTGAGGAAAACCTTGAAATTTGGTATTCTTGGATTTTGACCACGATTTTGGACATGAAATTGAGAGTAAATTATATATTTGAGCTCGTGAGGTTATGGGTAAAATTTATCTTCGAAAAATTTCGGAAAATGGGCACGTGGGCCCGAGGATGATTTTTATCGACTTTTCGATCGGGGTTAAAAATTGTTATAAATTGGATTATAATGAGTATTCGAGCATATATTAATGGGTTGGCTAGTTTTGGAGCGTTGTGCATCGGTTTGAGTCGTCGGAAGGGCTTGGAAGCCTGTTATGAAACTTCGGAGCGAGGTAAGTCTCCTTTCTAACCTTGTAAGAGGGAATTAACCCCATAGGTGAAATAATTAAATATGTGCTCCTATTTGTGGGGGCTACGCACACACGAGGTGACGAGAGTCCGTGCGTAGCTACTATTGTGCTTAAGTCCGGGTAGTGTAGGACCCAAAAGCATGCTTTACGTGTAATATTTGAAATCTTGTTGTCAAATTTAGAAATGCTTAAAACATATCGAACGTGTAAATAAATTTCCCTAAAGCTAGACATCGTTTTCTTGACTTTTAGAAGAGAAATTTCCTTTTCTTGGATAATTGTTCCCTGATGAAGTCTTGATTGACTGTTTGGATGTGTGTTTCTATGTGTACCTGCGTCGCATGTATGATTCGCGAGC